TTTTTTTTGCAGGAGGTAGGGCTCGATCTGGGAACCGATAAGACCCGTTAATATCAGTTTGATTTTGAGCGGAAGGAAGGGCTTGATCCAGGTACTAGTGAGAGCCACTCGGGTTTGCTAACCGGTAGGACCGGGAGGTCCCAGTACTTTTTCGAGGATTCTCAGATGCTTAGGAGGTAGTTTTAGAACCTTTCTTCTCTTTTCTGTTTGGTAGCGGCTATTAATAGTAGGATTGTGGATGGATGAAACCTCTTCGCGTAGAGACTTAGACGTACGTGCAGCGTGTGTAGGGCGTACCCGCGTTTCTCGCGCGCGTCGTCACGGTAGTACCGTGGAAGTGTTGCGCTCTTCTCGTTCTATCTTTTTCGGCATTTTCAAAGTACATCGTCGCACGGTCTTGATGACGTTGTTTGTGGGTTTTTTTGTTTTGTTTTGTTTTTTTTGGGACCAATGCTCCAGTCTATTCGTGGGGAGCAACACGTGCTGGAACCGGGCCCAGCGTCCCATATAAAATGATACAAAGGATTTGGAATACCAGGGCCATTACCTGGCTTCGGCTAAGAACAATTTGAGAATTTCAACTAAGAACAAACTGAGAACTACAAAAAGAGTTCAGGAGAATTTTAAGACAATCTGAGAATTTCGGCTAAGAACAATCTGAGAATTTCGGCTAAGAACAATCTGAGAACTGAAAAAAAAAGTTCAGGAGCATTTTACGAAACCATGTGTTTGTGTTTGTGGTTTTGTCTATGTTCATAACTTGAACAATCTCGCTGCGTGCTTGCTCTGTGAACACTGCACTGGCTGCATGCTTACTCTGTGAACACTGCACTGAATTCACCTACCCAAGATAGATACAGTTTGCAATTGCAGACCTGCCCAAAAAGCTGGGTTGTATACATTGCCCAAACTGTAGTTCGAAACTGTATCTTGGACCACACTGCAATTATTACTCATTTTTGTGACGCTCGCGTAGCTTCCCCCCCTTTTTTTTTCCTCTCTCATCTATATTGTCCCCTCTCCGATATCTCGATTCCGTTGACGTCATGTCTCACAAATCAACTTGAATGTTGTCCGCGTCCTTGGTCCTCTCTACTACCTGGATGCCAGCGAGTCTTGTCATGTGTAACAGCCATTTCGTCAAAACGGATGTATTATATTTTTTGAACGAGATCAAAATCGAGTTTTTGGGCCGAAATCTGGTCCAATTTTTTGGCTCTTGGGGGTCCGGCGTTCTACTAGGAACGCCGGACCCCCAGGAGCCAAAACTTTGGACCGGATTTCGGCCCAAAAACTCAATTTTAATTTCGTTCAAAAAATATGATATGTCCGTTTTGACGAAATGGCTGTTGTGTCATTCTGAATGACGTCTTGTCAACTTGAAGAAGGAAAAAAAAAGCACTATTCCCGGCTTGTAAAACAAAGTGTCTTCTCTTAAAAAAAGAAAAGAAAAAAAGACCGGACTATGCGTAATGATCTCCACGCCAGAAATTCTTAAAAAAAAAAAAAAAAGACCGAACTATACGTAATGATCTCCACGCCAGAAATTCTTACCCTAAAAAAATCACCCAAGGGGAGACTAAACTGAATACAAAACCCAAACTAATTCCGAAATTCCACGACTGTCCACATTTTTATCCTCTCTCTCTCTCCACCAACAATACCATGCTCTTTTTTTTTTTTTTTTTTTTTTTTTTTTAAGGCCCATGTGCAACCCCTCTATCCTGGTGGTGGTAAGAGAACCACCGGGATTGAGGCTTTGCCTGGAATGCAGAGTAACGNAAGAGAACCACCGGGATTGAGGCTTTGCCTGGAATGCAGAGTAACGTGTGATGTCCAAATATTCCAAATCCACCGCAGAAAAACCACCAATATCCCACCACAGGATGTTCAAGAAACCTAAGTTAACACTCGAAAAAACCAATCTACACATCCCCGTAATCTAAGAAACCACCGATACACCCAGGCCTGCAGGCCCCTCGTTGCCGCGTGCCAAGGTTTTCCGAACAACCAGCGGCGCAATTCTTTTTCTTTTTCGGCTGAAGCCGCCAGCCATCGTGGTCCCAGTAGGCCGAGCCTGCGAAATTTGCTCAGGGAGGGACCCCACAGGACGGCAGCTAATGGTTTCGGAAGTAGTCGACTTCCAGCCGACTGCGGCAAACGGTTTCGGAAGTAGTCGACTTCCAGCCAACTGCCCACCGCGCCAACGGAGATGATGAAACAGCGGGGACACCACCCCCGCTGTGAAATGTTGCTTTGGCGTGGACAGAGGTTACCCAAAAAGGAAATTCCGGGGCAGCTTTTCTTTTTGGGAAAGGTCGGGGCCTGGAAGGACATTCCAGATCCCTTACAAGTTAAAATATGTGTGGTGTATATATATATATATATATATATCGTCAAATAGAACTGCCCGGTAAACCGTAGGCAGAGAGGGAGAAGAGGACAACAAACGAGGGGCTGTGACAAACTATATATATTTCACAGCCCCTCGTTTGTTGTCCTCTTCTCTCTCTCTGCCTATGGTTTACCGGGCAGTTCTGTTTATGACGATATATATATATATATGGGGTTGCCGGCGTTCGGGACGGGCCGAACGCCCGAACCTGAACGCCCGAATGTACAGGACCCCTTCGGAAGGCGTTCGGCTGAACGCGGACCAAAAAAAAAATAAAAAAAAATAAAAAACGTTTTCAAAAACTTCCGAAAAAAAAAAACATGTTATGGAGAAAACTAAACTAAACAACATTTGCCTGGGCACTACATCCGAATTCTTTACCAAATCTGAATTAAAAATCAAATACAGAAAATAAACACTATGATAAAAATAAGAAAAAATAAAAAGAGAATTAAAATGAGTGAGTGTGCCAGCACCTTTTCGACACCGCCATCTTTACCGATTTTTAATTATTTTTTGGCATTGACAAATGCCCTGAACATTTACAGATATGTAGTTTACATAATCAATAACTCATCAAAAATGTTTCAAAAAATAATAAAATTGTTTAGGCCCCGAAATAAAGTGAAAACAAAAAGTTAAAAGTGAAAAAAAAACAAAATAGTGAGTGGGCGAGCACGTTTTGACACCCCTATCTTTGACGATTTTTAATGTTTTTTTGGCTTAGCTGAATGGCTTCAAAATTTCTAGGCGTGTAGGTTACATCATAGAGAAGTCACAAAAAAACATTCAGAAAGCAAAACTTATTTGTAGGCCCCTAAACATTTTTTGGCGGGGCTGGAGGTGTTCGGCCGCCGAACGGGAACCCGAACGCCTGAACGTTCGGTCAGGTAACCCTGTATATATATATATATATAGCTGTCCCCCGATGAGGAGAAGACAAAAAAAAAAAAAAAAAAAAAAAAGTAAAACGAACCACCACTACTTCACGCATACATCAGCCGGTTGCGAAAAGTAGAGCCCTCGCGTTTCCACTTGAATGAGTTTAAGCCGCCGCCGGCAGGCCCGTTTGTCAGCCTCGACTTTCATAAGTACTACTGGTGATTTACGTACTCTAAGAGTATTTGTAATGATCAACATCAAAGGAGCACACCAAAAGGCATAGAATAATTTCGAAAGGAAATGGGCTTTTTTTTTTTTCTTTTTTTTTGGGGGGGGACAAATGCTCCAATCTATTCGTGGGGAGCAACACGTGCTGGGAACCGGGCCCAGCGTCCCATGCAGAATTATACAAATGATTTGAAATACCGGGGGCCATTACCCGGCTTCGGCTAAGAATCAATCTGGGAACTAAAGGAAATGGGCTGTAGCTTGACTGCTCGGTGTTTTTCGTTCTTTTTTCTTTTCGGCTGTGGTTTCGCAGGATGCTAGATAGGGACATCTTTCTGTGAATTTACAAACCCCTGCCCCTGTACTACGCAGTTTGCGCCTTTTTTTTCTTTTTTTTGTTATGATTAGGGGTATCTCAAAAAAAAAAAGAAAAAGAAAAAAAAGAAAGGGGTATCTGCTACTGTTCCCTTCGGTTTTCTTTGGATGACAATTCCGTGGATGTAAATTCTAACTAGTTTCTCACCTGCCCCTTATTTCTTTCTCTTTTCCTTCCTGTTTTTTTTTTTTTTTTTTTCCTTAGCTGGTCCTATTGCCTACAAGACGCGTTGGGAAGGAAGACCGCCAACCCCGACTCTTGATCTTCTTGAGCTGGAAACGCCTGCTGAACCCGATGCATGGGTGATGAGCCTAGGTACTCCTCTCCTCTCACATTTCCAAATGCCGACAACAATCAGTTTGTTTATTTATTGTCAAATTAATAAATTATTGATTTATTTAAATTATTTATTTTTATTCTTGTGCTTATTTAAATTATTTATTTTTATTCTTGTGCAAGGAACCTGCTGCGAGAACTCTTTTTTTTTTTTTTGGAAACTGCTCCATCTATTGGTGGGGAGCTGCGTAGCATCGCGCTCGGGCTCGGTGACCGGACCCGAACGCTCGGTACCGAGCCCGAACGTGACCCAAAATCGACCGAGCCTGAACATTTTTATTTTTTTGTTTTTTTTATTTATTTTTTTATATATATAGGTGTTGGGGGGCCCTGGGGGGCATCACTCATGACTCCTAAACATACACACACACACACACACCATACACACGCACCCCCAGACATCCCACAAACGCCCCACATACACCCCACACACCACACACACACGAGGACGCGCTCGGCAGCCCTCTAATTTGCGCTCGGCAGAACATGTTCGGTTCACGCTCGGCCGAGCGCCCGAACACGTTCTGCTGCTCGGTAGGGCGCCGAACATGTTCGGTGTGCTACACGGGTGGGGAGCATCACCTGCTGGAAACCGGGTCCAGCATCCTGTCAATTCACGAGTAAACAGCAATTTCGTCAAAACGGACATGATAGTTTAGTGAACCCAGATGTCGCCACTTTCGTGAAGAACAAGGTCAGGCCCGTCAGGGTAGTGTGGACGAAAAACAACTTGAAGACCGTTGGGGAGATCAATCACAACCACAGGAAGTACGCACACACGGACACGGACACGGACACTGTTCAGTGTCGAATCTGTCGATGCACAGAGTTCTCGCGAGGGAAACAGGAAGGCCACGTACTAACCAGACTGCTAGAAATCGAGACTGTCACCCCTGAATTCGTACGGAATGCACGGAATGTGACAAAGGGCGTCGCCGCACGGCACACCAAACTAAAAACGAAACGAGTGCATCTTCCCGCAGAAAATGGCCAGGTTCTTCGATTTGCTATAAATAGTAACGAGTGTATGTTGCCACTTTCTGTGGACAGATGCACGCGTTTCGTTTTCGTTTCGTGCGCCGTGGGGCGAGGCCCAAAACCCGACCACCTATGCAGCCGTAAGTCCGTTGAACAGGCGATCACGATGGCGACGGCACATCTCCAAAGAAAACCACCGGAGATTGGCGTAGGGACTTGTCTTGTTTCTGAAAAGGCCAAGACGAAGACTTGGGCAGATCAAGAAGTCCGAACCTCGGCACGACAGTTCGACGGTTTGGTCCTGGCCCCGGTAGATAGTAACCCCGGGGACACCGCTGTCATCTGTCCGGTACTGTACAGGCACGGCTTCGGACAAACATTCGCATGGAACGCGGATTACGGAAACGTATCTATGAGTCAGACCGACTAGGAGGAGGAAGTACTACGGACCTGTAGGAAGGACTACGCTGATGCAGGGCTAAAGGCGGTAGGGAGGTGGAAGACTGACGGCAGACTCGGAAGAAGTTTTTTTCTTTTTTTCTTTTTTTTTTCTAAACACGCCCCCGCCAGTGTTAGTGGTGCTGATAAGATCAGACACCACTAACACCTGGGGAGAGGCTCCATTCTATTGGTGGGGAGCATCATCTGGTGGAAAACAGGTCCAGCGTCTCATGAACTTACCTGATCCTGAAAGACAAGGACCTGTTGCGGTGGCGACCTATTGCTCCTGCTTGTGCTGACCCGGCGACGACTGGACGACAACGGAGTTGTGCTAGATAGATGCATTTTTTTTGTTGCCTCATCAAGAGGTTTCCTCGTAAAAAAAAAGAACTTGAAGTTCCATCTGAATTCTATCTATGTTGTGAGAGACGAGCTAGCGCCTCACTCTTGCAGGCGAAGAACTGAGAATTTCAAACTTCAAGGTAGAATGTACCGCGGCCATCGGAAGATGCTACGGCGACATCAAAGAGATGTTCTCTTCGATTTCGCACGCACGCATCGGTGGAAGAGGCAGTCGCTGATCTGCCGAAGACGTACAAAGAAGACGGGTGGAACAAAGAAGACGGGTGGAAACAAGTAAGAGTCGCTGTACAGGGGAAGTCCTGCGCGCTCTCCAGGACTAGACGCAAGGAAAAAGTTGAAATACAGACATGAGGTCCTGAGTCCGAATCGAGATGGAAGTAGTACGTGAAAAAAAAAAAAATGAATTGCAGGGGGCTGGTCAGGTCCATGATGGAATCTCAAGGCGGTTGCAGTAAAAAAGACTGGTTGTCAGAAACTGACAGTTTTTAGTACTTTTTACTTGGGAATTTAAAACGAAAATAAAATTTATAAATTTCAAGCATGGGGGGTTGAGAAGTTCGATTGCTTTTATATAGAATTTTCGATGGCTACGATCCGGGCGTGCGTGTGGATCGCCGTCCAGACGGTCTGGATTCAGTCCGGACTCCAGACGTCCGGTCTGGAAGGTCCGGAAATGCCAAATTGCAAGGTGGGGGGGGAATATAAAAAAAGGGTCGAGGACTCTTCCCCACTGAGGAGTCGATGCCCCAAAATTGTTTTGAAGGTTTTCCAGGCCCGTTTTTGTGTTTTTTTGGGGGGGTCCAGACATGGTCTATCTGTATAACAATTTATTATACATATTACATACCCTTTTTTCAATCATTAATAATTTATTACTTTTTAAAAGCTTTTTTTATAGTTTTTGACTTTTTTTTTTTCCTTTTTCCTTTTTTTTTTTTTAGGAGAAATCTCAAAATCATTATAACCGGAAAGCGGGCCCGGCGTCCCTTACATCAAATCTGCGGCCAAACGGGCGAAGTGAGGCACTCCCGGCCAGACCTATCCCGACCGCAACCAATCAGTGCACTCAATTCTATCTCAATCACAACCCTAATTGCGACGGAATATTCAACCAACCAAAACAAGCGACCCACCAGAACCAAATGATCCAACCATTGACTCTTCTAACTAGGCCAAAACCAAGCAAAAATTACTCAAAATTACTCAAACCCTAACCAATACTGTTCACCATTAAAACAAGCAGCACTTAAATTTCACAGAAACCCTATCTATTACTCAAACCCGATCTACCTCTAACCAGGCACCAAGGAACGAGCACAGCACCAAAAACCTCAATTCTAGTGTACTATACTTCCAACCAACCAATCAATTCACTATCACCGGATACCTAATTAGAGCAACGAGTCGAGGGCCATCGGCAAGATAAGCAACCTAGTTCCACAAAGCCAGTCAAAACCCAACGTGTATCGCAACTATACAGCCCAATCGTGGCACACCTATTCGCGTTTTCGCCAGAAAGCAGCGAATCGCAACTGAAGAACCAAAGTCTCGATACACCCATTCTTCTCTTAACGGTATCGTAATACACTCTCTCTCTCTCTCTCTTTCACGGATCACAAGCAACGAACCACAACAACCCATCCAACAATCGACGACATAACCACTATGTACACCCCAGTTGTGTCGTTCATAAACACCATCTATAATCCGTCAGAGATCCAAAGGGTAGGAAGTCCTGAGCAACACCACGTCCAAAGCAGGAGGATCCGCAACAGTGGGCAAACCCCGGTCGTGGCTGAAGCCCTGTGTCAGCAATTCGCCAGCAGCTCTGGGCAATACCAGTCGCAGCAAGAAGTCCATCATCTTTCTCCCGGAAGTCGACGCTTGTCGAAGTACTCTCTTCGTTCGTCTCCAGCTCTTCACTCAGATGAAATTGCGTCCGCCGCCACAACACTATAGTGTTCCGTATCTGCAATCGGTGGGCCAAGCCCCTGATCAGGTGATAATTCTGGTATGTACGGTGCGCAGATCCCGCCCGTTGACCGTCCACACGTCTCTCCCCTTCCTCTGACGGCCAATCCAGGATTACCAACTATCGTTGACCAAGACCAGGCTATGGCAGGTGCATGGTTGTGCCCCCTCGAAGCGGCCTCCACCTCGGCGCCCACACGCTTCGTCACCCCACCGCCTCCGCCACACCCAACAGCAAGTTCTGGCTAAGCAGAGCTTATTCACAGCTACCCCCGTGCGATCCCCCGCTGCCCGCGCACCGTAATGACGACGCGCTAACGCAGCATTACCGCTGCACTAGCGCGTTGGTGGGTACATTTCTCAACTTAACTCAAGTTTGGTTAGGAATTACGACATGACTCTGAGGCAAAAAAAAAAAAAAAAAAAAAAGTGGTTTGTATTCTTATTCTGCATAACATACTTCTTCAGAGTTTTTCTTCAAATTTTTTCAGTTCTTTTTTTTTTTTTTTTTTTTTTTTTTTTTTTGGATCGGGACATTTCCGGACCTGCTTACCGGTCCGGACCGTTGGCCATTTGCCAAGCAGGGCTTATGCCCTCCAAGTTTTGTGGATTCATAGGGGCCTGCGTTCTGCTGTCTCAGGAGGGGACACAGGCGCCGCCACCAGGCGGCTAGGCTGTTGAGGCCGAGCCTTAGTTTCTGGCACTCTTTCAATGGCTGTCCGGTCTATAGGCTGCTGGCTCTGCGTTTTGGACAGTGGGGGTGAGGCCTTGCTATTCTCTTTTTGCCTGTATCAGGCTATGATCATGCCTAGGTACTTTCATTGTGACTTTTTTATGGGATTGAATTTTGCTTACGATGTTCCTATTTGAAACCATTCCTGGTCGGCAGTGTATTTGGCCTTTTTTCGGTACGGGGGGTTTTTTCTGGGCACCTCGGTCTGAAAAGACGACGGCATCCTTTTTTCGGGACCTATTTTCCAACCTCCTGCTCCCACTCTTTCGGCAGAAGGATGAGCGGGAAAGATTCAAAACCAACATGCTCTCCTCGGGACGGCCTCATTCACCGAGGGAACGACGACGTGCGCTGACGGTTGCGGTATGCGCTGGCTGCGCCGCAGGGAAGGGACAGCTATGGCAGCAGGCGGAGGGTGCTCTACCACCTTCTACTTGCCAATTGTAACTTCTGTGCTCTTTGCCACTGTCTTACGGCATGATTTTGCTTTTCA